TCCTATAAAGGAGGCACTACCCACAATTGCCGTACGCATCAATGGAATCAGGAGTTTAGTGTTGCTAGACACAGGCTGTTCACGGTTGCTTGGGAACAGACCGCTTTGTCGCTCTTGGAAGAGAAAAGAAGTGGACATGCTCAATTGTTGGTGAAAGGACCCTTAGGTGCTCTGAGGTAGGACTTGTTCAACTTGACGTGAGCAACAGGCGTTCTATCGATGTTGAGGTTCTGATTTTAAACGGAAAATTGCTGGGTTTTGTCCTGCTGCTTGGATTTGACATCATCAAGAAGTTGGGATGAGTATGTGTGCCCAGTGATGTAACTGTGGACTTTCCTCGACCGACCCTTGAGCGCAGCCATCACCATCAACAAGCCTGACTTCCATGCAGAATATGACCAGAACAGGAAGATCTGGGTTGTATCTTGAAAGTGGTCTGGTGAACAGACGCCACTTGCGTTGAAGAACCGGGCAGCTGAGTATCCGGTACCAAAGACGCACATGGAGGAATATACTCGTGAGCGACAAACCTGGATGGCTACTTCCATATCCCGAGGAATAACTTGTAGGCCTGATCCCTCTAATGGCTGTGCTGCAGGAAAACAAACAGAAGGTCTGCTCGGTCATGGATTATCGGGAGCTCAATCAATATGATGATGCGCTGTGTGCTGATGCAGATCTTTGCGCGCAAAAATTGAGGGAGTGGCGACAGGAAGGATCCGATATCGCCGTGCTAGATTTGCGCAGTGCATATTTGCAGATCCATTTTGACAAATCTTTATGGCCCTTTCAAACTGAAGATAAATGGGCAAAGATATTGCCTCACCTGTTTGGGTTTGGGGCTCAACGTAGCACCGCTAATTATGCGATCAATTGTAAATGCCGTGGTCGCACAGGACGAAACCATTCAGAGGAACACGTCCTCGTACATCGATGACATATTTGTCAATGAGAGTGTATGCGCTGCGGTAATTTGGACTGACAAGTAAGAATCCAGAGCGTTTAGAGAGTGGCACCCACGTGCTAGGATTGCGTGTCTGTGGGGGGTGCGGTAAATTGCAATGGAGTCGCGGGTGTGACCTCCCACTGATGCCTAAACGTGCTCACCCATCGGAGCATCTTTTTCCTGTGTGGGAAGTTGACTGGACATTTTCCAGTACGTGGCGCGTCAACTCTGTGACGACTGGCTGGGACGATGAGGTGCAAGACCCACCCCTGGCTCGGATGCTGATGGACATCGTTACCACATTGGCACAGAAGGATCCGGTACAGGATGACTGGTGCGTTGATGAGACGAAGTCACCGTTTGGGTTGACGCAAGCTCCTTGGCCACTGGCGTCGTTGTGGAAAGCAGCGAATCCCTGGTTGCAGATGCCTGTTGGCTGCGATCAGAATGCGAAAACAAACATATCAATCTGGCAGAGCTTGCGATCTTGAGAGGCATCAACATAGCACTGCAATGGAGAGCGACTGTGGTTCACCTGAAGACCGACACAACGTGTGTGCATCGATGGGTTTCTGATATGTTGTCTGGAAAGTCTCGAGTGCCCACGAAGTCGGTGAGAGAAACATTAATAAAACGTCGGCTCAGCACAATCAAGGAACTTGTGGAGGAATAGAAATTGGCTATTGACATAGAGCTCGTCATGCAAACCGAGCCAATCAGCTCAACAGAGTACCTCAACAATGGTTGGGTGCGGTTTATTAAAAAACGTAACCAGTATGCGCCGCGTCTATAGAAGAGCAGGAATCCACCCACATTCAAGCCATCCATCTACGTAGTGGGCATCCAGGTGTAAAGCGCACCTTGTATTTTGAAAGACGGATCAGCCTTGAGGTTTCAAAGGCAGCTCCTCAGGTGGTAGTTGGAGAATGCGAAGTGCGCCAATCCATAGACCCTGTGTCAGTGCATTGGAACGCTGGAAGGTTGGATGTGCGCGAGAATTGGAGCAGGGTGGAGATGAACATAATACATTGTGAAGGCCGGCATTACCTGACTCTGATAAACTGTGATCCTAGTCGGTTTTCCATCTGGCTACCGTTACCACATCAGGACGCTGCCAGCATCATCTGACAGATAGAGTCGCTATTCTGCGAGAGAGGGCCGCTCACCAAGCTGCTCATCAACAATGATGCAGCATTGTGTAGGGAGAATTTACAGAGACTGAGGCATCCGACTTCCGGTGTACCTATCAACAATCAGAGAATGACATCGTGGAGAGATACCATCGCACCATCAAGCGTATTGCTGCTCGGTCGGGATGTTCCATTATGGAGGCGTTATATTGGTATAACGTGACGCCAAAAGACGACGCAAAAGCTTTGTCGGCACCAGCTAACTCCATATATAACTATCAATCCCGCATAAAGGGTATCGATATTATACCACCACATGAAGACACAGATCCCGGAATCTACATAGTGGGAGATGCGGAATTGGTAAAGACGCCACATGGTCGATGTTCGACGCAATTCAAAAAAGGAACAATGACAGAGGTCC